TATAAATATTTCATTTTATAAATCAAAGTCTGACGGAAATTTCACAAATTTAATTATTACTTAAAGATAATATAGCATATATATTACCTATATTATATGGATATAAACTATAAATGTAATTTAGTAACAGCAATGAGTAATGTATACACAGTTAAAACAAATTAAAACAAATATTATTTATTTATTATGGACCTGAACTAAGATATTATGGTTTTCATTAAGGCATATAGTCTAAAAAATTGGGTTCTGAATTAATGAGACGCATTATTCTTTGTATGGGATCATTACATAAGTAATTTGTTGAACGATTACTGAATTGAAATGTATATGCAGTTGTGACTCAATCCTGATTCCTGGTAATATGAAATGCGGTTTTATTTATACGAATAGCATTTATTTTTATCCATTAACAACCTTGTTAATGAATTGTACGTCCAATACTTTCATTCTGGTATCAAGACTATCTAAATTTAATAACTTAGAAATCTATGTATAGTCATATGGCGGGTGGTTAACTTTTAAAATATGACCGGTAAAAGAAAAAAAGCTTTTTGGATGCTTTCAATTCGTTCTGTTTTTCCTAGTGTAAGGAGGAAATATTGTTACAAAACATTTTAAAAATTTCAATTTACCAAATTCTATTTTTTATTTTTTATGCCGAATATAAAGTAAAATAATGATAAAATCTAAAATCGATATAACCAACGCTCAAAAATAATATTCTCTAATATTTTTGTTATAGGTAATTTTAATCTATACTCGAAGATAACACAATATTCATAAATAACAATTATGTTCGTTGGAGGGAGTTAGTAAAAGTTGAGCCGACATTCTTATAAGATAGACCGAAGAAAATGTTATTGTATACAAATTCTAAAACCTAGAAATGATAGTAAAATACTATGAAGTATTGTAGTTGTTAACCAATAGAGACAATTTTATTTTTCCTATACAAGAAAATTTGTTTACTTAAAACTTTAATAGGAATCGTACCAATGATGAGATATCCATGCTAAAATATATTTATAAATTGTCCTTAAAAATTAAATCATATCAAATAAATATAGTGAAAACGAACTTCTTTACAATTGTAGTGAAAAAATACAATACCTACTACCTAGTGTTAAGAATGTTGTAAATAATCATCTACTTAAATAATTAAAATTAATGGTTTTGAAAAAATGTTAATGTTCTAAATAATTCACAATTTAATTTACGGTGATTTCAAATTCATCAGTATAGTTGGTGGATAATGATGATCAATACTATTGTAGAGTGTGAGAGTGAAGCGCTTAGTGAATTGATTTCCTACATAATATTTTTGATGCTACAGCTTCGACTTTTGGGTGGTTTTCGCCTGCGATAAGTATTATTTCAGAGAGTATACCCTAGCACCAGTTTACCTACTGATTTAGTGTATACCCTATAGTATAGGGATTCTCAAACTGTGGTACGCGTACCTCTTGGGGGTACTCAACATTTTTTAAGTGGTACGAGACTGGCCAATAAACTTTTAAATTAAAATAGATAATAGTAATAAATAATATATACTTTAGTTATTAGTAACTCAGAAAAGGTACCCAAAAAATGTATTAGTAAAAAGAGATACAGTGTTCATAAAAGTTTGAGAATTCCTGCCCTATACATCTATACAATTATAAGAGATGCATACGTATATACCTTCAAAATTAATCAACGACAAATTTAAAATAAAATTGCTTTCAAACAAGATATCTTTAACCTCAACTAATTAGTTTGGTAGTTTGGTATAAAATTATCATTTGTTTTTATAATAATCAACTATCATATCAATGCCAATAATTATACAATTATAATCACAGCTATATAAATGCTATCAATTTTATTGACTTATGGTAGGTATTAAGAGGACGTTTCACCCGCATGTGTTGTCTCCGTCTTACAAGTGCTTAACATTGCACAAACTGTTTCGCGCGGGAAAGAACCGAGAAAGTTACAGTTATAACTAAGAAACGAWATTTTCACCACATAAAGAGGAGAATTTTGTCTGTGCAATATCGTTTTTATTTTTTCGATATCAGAACTACAAAGAAAGTTATTCATGCTTAAAAAACACAAAATTAATGTATTATAAAAC